TCAATGGGAAGGATGGGTTTTCCCAAAGCAGGCCAGAAAGGAGTGGTTTACCGGCTCAGTGAAACCGGCCACTTGGCTAATATGTACCCTGTCCCTTCCTGTGTCCCCCCACAACGGGGTTCCCTAAACGGAAGGCTGCCCCCTGGGATTCGCCAGGGTGGGTAGCCTTGTGAGGAAGGTTAGATATTTTTGCAAGGCCCTTGCATTTTACCTTTGAGCTCTTTGGGGTGGGGTGGCGGGGGAAGCCCCACTCACTCACTCAGGGCCCAACCTCTCCAAACCCAGGAAATGAAATGTTGCTTGGCAAAGATTTGCATTTCTCATTTACCTTATCTGCCGCGGGTGGAACACTGCACCTAGATAGAAGGTGATGGTGCAAAGATAATCTTCTCCTCCCCATGGACTGAGCCAAACGGCACAGTCACTGTTCCAAACTAGAGGAGGTTACCTCAGCGGTGAACTTGGAAGTCTGAGGATCCTGCTAGGGCCTGCCAGCCCGTGTTTGTTTTTTGTTTTTTCCTCTTTTTTAATGAAAGACTCAATAGGTTAGCACAAATGTTTGGATTACAAAAATAATGCAATAGCTGTGCATATTTGGGCAATAGGGGTGGGACAGAATCCTTGTTATTCTAATCTAACAATTATGGGATAGTAGCTCTTCACATCTGCCTTTATGTTTTCCTGTTTCTTGTTTTCTTCTTCTCTTCCTCTCCCTTTACATATATGTCAGTAGCTAGTACCCATGTGTATGTATATGTCTGTGCGTAGGACTACACAGCCCTTTTTAAAAAGCCTCGTATTAGGCAGTCATGTTTTTCTCATTCCACCCGTATGATGAACCTGTTTCCAAGTCATTACTTTATCAGCAGAGATTCTCTTCAAACATCAAAAGAAGTCTATTTGCCCACCTGCACCTGACATTAAAGAGAGGGGCACCCCCCCCCCAAAGTAAAGTCACTGAGGATGAGCTGCCCGCCAGCCAGGCTGCCTCATCTCAGCAGTCACATCAAGCACCAAGAGTGGACTAATGGGTGGGCAGGGGACATTGCCTGCAGATGTCCACTCACATTTCCTTGATTGTTTTCCAGTTCAGCACCGGAGGGGACAAGCCAGCCATCTGGCTGGACGCTGGCATCCATGCTCGAGAGTGGGTGACCCAAGCGACTGCTCTGTGGACCGCAAATAAGGTCATTTTGTCTCCCTGATTGTCTCTTTCTGGGCTCCGGACCTACTGAACCCCACACTAGTCCTTTCAGACCAAGCCCTCTGCCACACAGAAAGGAAACAGAGCCAACCAACGTTGTTTTGTTTTGTTTTTTTTGGGGGGGGAGCGCTACCCATCTTTTACCCTCCTTCCGGGGCCTGCCACTTGTTTGTAGAGGGTTAGAAGAGATCGAGGAGGTGACAACTAGGGACTTTGTTTCAGTGAAAGAACAGACTGGAGGAAATAGCTTTGCTGCCTAGAATTCAAGGCTGGGCCATGATGTGCTTGGAGAGAACCAAGAAGCGGGTCAGAAGACAAATATACACATGGCCAAGTGACCCCCTAACCCACCCCTCCACCCCTAGCTGAAGAGAAATGAGTGACAGTGCGTGGCTTGTTCTGAAAGAAATATCCCCAATGGGATTCTGAAGTCAGGGTGTAGCTGTACCTCTTTTCAACCCGTCTCTCAAATTAGACTCACCACAAGGAGGGGGGACTGGGCGTGACCCAGGCTGGTCTTCCTTAAGTAATTCAAACATGACAAGCTATAAGTCAGAATGTTAATTCATGAGCAAAAGGCAATCAATCCACTTGGGCTCATTCAAGCATGCGCCACCACGTGAATACCGACTGATACATTTTTCCCTTCAATTAAAATGCGCTTACCTTTGGGGTATTATGAAATGGATATTTAACAGTTGAATAATAATGCCTTAGGATGGCTGAGCACAGGAAATGAATAAATTTTAATCCAGCAGAAACTGATGCCATTGCAATTGATCGCAAGAGGGGAAAAAAACCCCCCAGTTAATTCCCCAAGTGGAATGTCACAAGGTCTTAAGTATCTTCGGAAAGTTCGGCAGCTTTCAGGCATCAGCTGTTAGTTGTGAGTTCTTTTGGAAAGCTACCCTGGGTAGTGATGAAGGAAAACGCAAAAACTTTGGTCCCTAGGCCCTGGGGAGGTGGTGGTGTGTGTGTGTGGGGGGAGTAGGGCACAGCAAAATCTTCCACACCATTGCTAAAGCTGCCTGCAGAAATCCCAGAATGCTCCGAGTGTATGGCGTCCTTGACAATTGAGCCCTGGTTGTGTGTTTCATAGAGTGGGAATGAAGAGGACAGACCCGGGTTTACTACCTGCATCCACACGGCAGGAGGCCGGACTGTGGGGTACCTGGGTTTACTACCTGCATCCACACGGCAGGAGGCCGGACTGTGGGG